GGGGGAGGGGCAGTGGGGGTGGAAAAAACGCATGATGTAGTCTGTATTAGCATACTTTTAAATAAGCCTCCCTCCCACCTCAAGTCTTCCTCGTCACCACTGCTTCTTTGGAAGGAGTCTGGTAAGAAACAAACTTCAGTTTTCTAACATGCCAAATAATAGCCTTTGAGGTTTTTTAATTTATGTTACAGAAAATCTAAAAGCAAATTAGGAGTAGCTTCTTATATGAAGTTCATTGTAATCTTACTGATTTGCTGTTGAAACTGAAGGCTTGGGATTTTATTAAAATGCTAATTCAATACCAGTAATTTCAAATATATGGTATCTTACAGTTTTAGTGTCTTGACTTCTGTAATATAAAGACTAATGTCAATCAGAAAATTAAGACTTGAAACATGAAGCTATTAGGAGACAAGGAGCTGTGAGAAAAACAAGAACCAAAACAACCACCCAAAAACCCCAGCGAACAAATAAAGATCATCTCTGCATTCAGTCAACTATCCCCAAGAACTTTTAAATTTGCAGAAATTTGTGTTCACATAGTCATCTTCAACATGTTTGTCTTTAGATTGTGTGTGCTTGGACAGATTTATTAGTTGTCCCCATATTAAAATTTCACTTGTATTCTGAATTATTTCATTCCAGGTGTTCCACTATATACATGCTTTTACATATATAAAGACAGGGTTCTACTCAAATCCACAATCAGTCTGATTTTTTAAATTTTATTCACAAAACCTTTTAAAATACTACCCACAACTAGGTAAGAAGGAACTGTAGATTCACTCTAGCAAAATTTCCATTTCATATTAATTCCCTGTAACCAAGGAAATACAGACTGATGAATGTTTACTCATAGCAGTATCAAAAGGTTCTGAAATAACCCCTGAATTTCTTAAGTTACCACTCAAGTGCAAGAATTACCATTAATAACTTCAATTAAATCAGGATACTCTCTTACCCTTTATTTTGCACACCTATTAACTTTCTCCCTTTTAATAACATTTGACAACAGCCATTTCCATAACATTCTGTGATTCTATGAACCTTCTAAGAAATACCATTTTTAAAAAGGAGAAAAATTCTGTAAAAAGCTTTCTCAGATACAAGGACTGTTCTTTCTCATGAGAACCATGAACTTGTTTAGCTTTTTCTAAAAGCAGGTGTGCTGTCATGTAACACTCTACACCTATCCATGACCATAGTTCAGAGAGACAATTAAAATGCTATGTCAAATCAGATAGGAATGATTACCATCCATGAACAACTGAGAATACTTTTAACAAAACTGAAATTCATGAAATAATGCATCTGCCTTTAAAAAGTGAAAAAATGGAAGAGTCCTAGCAATTTTGTAAGTGGATTTTTTTCATATTAAGTATTGCATATCTATGTTTCTGGGATTAGTTTAGGTTGTTTTTTTTTAATAACAGATGCAAAGACTTAGTAGTACAGGTTACATACTTGTGAGTAAACTTATGCTTACTTTCCATTGATGACACCATCTGGATTGAGCATGGGAATAATTTTGAAAATATAAGATTCTCGTAAACATTGGGCACTTGGATTATTGCTCATAAGGTATTCCAGGGTTCCCTTCATAACCCAGCTTGCGTTAGTCTCTCCGGGATGTACACGAGCAGATAGGATAACATAGGGACGATTCCCTAAAAGAAGTATGAATAGAAGTTGCAAAGTATGATTCAAGCCAAGTAAAGTTTGTTAACTGAAAAGAGGCAACAGCCAGCGTTACTTATTACAATGGAAATACAGTATTTGGGAGCTTAGTATTATTCAGTATCAGTATTACTGATAGAGATTGCCAGAATACCACAAATAAATATTAAGTAGAAAGCTAATCCTGAATATTGACACCACTTAATTTCATTAAATTAATTAACCTTATTTTGCATTTTACATTTTTACAAGGTACAACAGTTAATACTATTTATTTTTTCATGACGAGCTAGTTTTGTATTATTTTCAGTTGATGAGAGAGAAAAGTCATACTTACTGAACTGACAGATATGTTCATAGTAATTGGACTCTGGCATGGCTGTAATAGTGACTAAGGGACAACTGTTGCCAGCCAGGGTCTCACAGAGAACGTCTTGTCGAAAATATATCTGTTGAGGGTTGTGCATAGATTCCAGCTTCTGAAGATGCATCTTCATCCCCAAAATAATGAAAAAATACTTCAAATCTTTTGCAGTCACTTATCATACCTATTCCACAGGTACTACTTAATCAATCTCTCTTTTTGTTGTTCTAAATAATGTTCAAGTTTCCATCATAATTTTTATAATGAAATATCATTCTCTACATCTCTGACTCACTTGAATACTTCTCTTCACAGAGTCTGTTTTTTTCCAACTGCTTAGAAAACACAGAGTACATTATTTTCTACCGGATGATACTCTGAGGGTATGTGGAAGGTAAGAATCTCTGCTTCATTAAGATTATCTGATCAGAGACCTTTTCAGTGCAAAAGTAAGTAAAGGGAGAAGCAATAAACGGGAACAGAGAGAATCAATCCTGGCAGTCAAGACATAATAGAAACAATAGCAAAGACAAAGTCTCCAGTCTCTCTAACTGATGTGCCATTAAAAATCTACAGGCAAAGCTTTAGAGAGGGCCACCTGAGGGACAAGGAGGAAACAAGAAGAATATGAAGCTTTGGGATATTCAAGGGGGAGCCTGTGGGACTATACAAAACTTATGCACCTGATCCCTACAGTATGCCCTTATCTATCTCTCTGTGCAGTCTCATTCTCTATGCCATGCATGTAAGGACTGTGTGGACAAGGTGCAACTAACAGGACAGGTGTGAGTGGATTTGAGGTCAGCAACTGGAGTGAGCAAAGATCTGAACACCAGTAATTGGAGAAGCCTTACCTCTTGGGAACACCTCTGTGGGCACCACAGGCTTCATGTTCAAAGTGCCTGCTACTGTTGGGATCGAAGCGAGTGGACCTGGTGCCAGCAGCTGGAGCTATAGGCAGTGCAGGCACCCTTCGGTCTGTGGTGTCAGCAACAGAAGCAAGAGGGGGTCTCAGTGGCAGCTACTGAAATGGATAAGGGTCTTGGTGTTCAGCCACTGGGTCAAGAACCGTGTGTGTCCCAAAAACCAGCTGGTAATGTGATAAGGGTGACTGAAGTGTCAGCACCTAGAATAGGGTTACAAGCCCATGCGCCTGGTACCTGCTGCTGGGGATGGTAGGCAAGCAAATGCATCTTCCTCGAGTGCATGGGGGGTGGGTGGGTGCAATTTGATAGCAAACTTCAGAAAGGACTACCCAGCAAGTATGACACCACAGGCTAAGGCAGGGGTATCAGGTGGACAGAGAGTCCATGCCAGCATCTGGGAGGAACTGCAAGTGCGGAGTGCCTGTAAGATGAGTGTGAGATGTGTGCACACACACATCTGTTTGCTAGTGAGAATCAGGCTGGACTAGCCTGCAAGCTGGAAGCCTGCACAGCAGGTAAGAGCACTGAGGTCTGGTACAGAGCTGTCTACAAATGTGGGTGTGCTCGTGATTCAAGAAAGGGAGTGGGTGCATACTTTTAATAGCAAAGAGCAATCCTTACTAGCTGGAGAGGAGGAAAGGGACTGGGGTGTCTGCAGTTATCTTTTAAGCAAGTCCTGTTAGTGTTACACATGGGTGCTGTTGAAGGCAGCACTTCATCTGTGACAGTCTGTGTAGGGCAGGGGGATACACAAGTGTGTGTGCCTGTCTCTCTCCGTGGGCTACACACTCAGACTTGCTAGTGGTTGAACCTACAAGCAATCAGGAAAGCAGCAGCCATGTCCATCAGCCTGGGACAGAGACCCTTGGGTCCCTGGGCTGGGCTCCAGAAGCCAGGCAGGAGGAACTGCCAGGCCCTAGACCTGTTGAAGGCATCAGCTGCTTATAACGTCCTTTAACAGGTACTTCTTCCAAGAGCAAGTATGGCTTAGTAAAAAGCTTAATTCAACCCTCTTACACACTGGTCACTGAATCTCCAAGTCCGCTTTTATTGCTGTGACAGAAACAGCCAAGAGAAGACATTCTAACTAAGAGTTTTGCCTAGTACTAAAAGCTTCACAGCACTTCTTTCGTCAATTCATGATCCTAAAAAGGTCTCTAATTATCTTAAATATAATAACTTGAATAGGCCAGTTATGAAGATGTGTATGTAGAGCAGCAGGATATGAGTCGTTTGACTCAAATACAAATACACCATCTAATCAGCACGTTTCCAGTCAATCGTTAATTATGATTCCTAGAAAACGCATTTAGCCTGCAAGTAAGTATATATTTTATTTTTCCAAGGTCTGTTCTTTAGAACAACGAGCACTCTTCACCAGCCTAAAAAATAGTATTACTATTACTATTCTCCATTTTAGGGAGCATTTTGAACTTTATAAAAAGAAATAAAAATAATTTATTCATGAATGCTTACATTTCACATTGTCCAAAAGTATAAATATTTATCTATGTAACAGATCATAATCTTCTCACCTTTAAAGTTGAGTATGTGTATGGATAATGGTAAGCAAAGTAGCAGACATCATCTTTATGTTGGAAAGTCACTGTGAATGTAATTGTGTAATAGGATTTTCCTTTCTGACCTCCAGCAGCAATGGAACTTCTTGAAAAGTGATTCCTAAGAGTAAAGTAAAAGTAATTAATACATTAAAATAACTTTTGTTCATATCCTTGATTATTCCTTAGCACACAAGCAAAGAGCCAGGATGATTTTTAGTGATGGTATTTCTCTTCTGCGTACATCCAGATTAAATACACTGTTCCCACCATCTGTAAAGATACTTTATTATAGCAGTAACATATATTCATTAACATTGGGAAAAAGTGAGTAAATAAAAACAAATAACAAAACTAAAAAAAAGAAAAAAAGGCGGCAAACAGTTGTCGACCAAGAAGGGTAATGCATGGATATGCTGTTACCATCTCATCCTGTGCTCCAGGATTGCTTTACAATGATTGCACCATAGCATACAGGAGCCTAATCACAAGCATCATGTGATCAGTATTACTGGAAGTCACTATTAAGATTTCAAGTTAAGCATGTATATACACATTGCCTTAAAAGTTTCTCTGGATCAGTATGCAATTTCTGACAAAAGCATAAAAGATGAACAGCTTAAATATTAGCAGTGTGCTAACAAAGTAAGACCCTATATATTTTGATCACTTCTGTTACTCTCCATAGTAACTCAGGAAGAAAACTCTGTTCACAACAGAGCTACTAAAATAGAATTATCAAACTCAGAAGCAAACACTTCTCCTCAAAAATTGTATTTCATCCTAATCTTCAGTGTAAGAGCTGCTGTATGTTTGATTGGTGTACTTACTTATAGTAACAAATATCTGTTCCTACACGAGTCCAACATGGTTGAGAATGTAATGCTTCTTGAACAGAATACATGAGGGGCTGCATACCTTAAAGAAAAAATATGCATCTCACTTTAATGCTTAACATTTAACATCAAGATCTTAGCAGTAATGGACCACATCAACACTTACATGTGAGTTTCCGAACTACTTATACTCATTTACTCACCAAATAAAGTATTTAGAGTGTATTTTCATGAACAACTGGCTATGGCACACTCTACAGATGACAAAAGATTCTTCTCCCCGCCCCCCATCACATACTACCTTTCAGAAAATAATAAATTAAAGAGAAAAAAAATTAAACCTACAGAAGACCATTCATTTTAAAATGAAAGTTTAAATGAACACTGTGGTTAGCATGAATGGTAATCTACAAGAAATCCTGGGTCCCACTCTATCCTACTCTCCATTACAAAAAGGCTTCAAAGAGAATACAAAAAATTGATACTACCATTTATTCACCTGGATAGCTGGAAAATAACTGATGTTTCACAGCAATTTTTTTTTTTTTTTTAAACAGTACCTCTTTAAAGTTTCTATTTTTTGGAGAGTATACTTCAGCTGAATACTTAACATGAAGTTAGAGTAGAAAATGATATATATTAATTGAACAGCATTTACTAGTTAGACAATTAGCTAAATACATTGACTGACTCAGTCAATGTACTTAAAAAAAACAAAAGTAAGTATCAGGTAACTATATGCAACATATTAATGAAGATCTAAGGTAACTGACAAAGATTAGTAAATAATTTAAAAGCATCTTATTACTGGTCAAACTACCTGGTATTCTTGGATTTTATCAACATGAGTTGTACATTTATGACAAAGAAGAACATGATGTTACACTGTCCTAAGAATTTGAGGTTGTGGGGGGAGAGGGGAGCTTCTCCTCCTCCTTCTTAAAGGACGAATTTCAGAAAATCCAGCAGGAAAAAAAAATCCCTCACAAGACAAATGGGTTTAAGGTGAATGATATCCCTCTCCCCATCCTGCCCCTCAGATAAGTGAAAGAAAGGTATATTCTGTAAGACAGTACTTTTGGATGAGGTACAAGCAGCAAACACTACTTGCTGGAGACTGCAAGGGTCACATATGAAGTCCAGCATTTCAAAGGAGTCTTACTTTTCCTTCTCATAGAATTATAGAATGGTTTGGGTTGGAAGGGACCATAAAGATCATCTAGTTCCAACCCCCCTGCCATCAGCAGGGACCCCTTCCACTAGACCAGGTTGCTCAAAGACTCATCCAGCCTGGCCTGGAACACTTCCAGGGAGGGGGCATCTACAACTTCCTTGGGCAACATTATTCTCAAATAATAATGTCCCTCTCTTCCCAGCAATAAGAAAATTGTGTGAGAATGTCTCCGCTTACTTTGACATCTGAACATATACCTCCACTCAGAAAGGGATTAATGATGACAGCTGTCATTCTTCTTGCACCTGTGTGGATCAACAGGCTTTGGTGTTGTCCCCTCCACAACGGTCTTAGGAGAAGTTTGAACTGCAGCCACAAGTACGTTTCTTCTGCTTTGGGCAGAAGAACTTACAACAAAACTTCATTTTTAAAACTGAAAGCCATTGTTTTAAGATAATTTCTTTTTTTTTTTTTAACTGAAACTTGTCAAAACATTTTCTAGTAACATTACTAAAAAGTAATCTGATCTGACTACATGAACATACTACTGATCCTGGGGAGGGAAGGAAACAGCTGGGCTGTCTAGTACAGATATATTTTCTATATATTTATTTATATATATTTATTTTCCAAAGTATGGGAATTGTGTCTTACCATAGTTAAATTGACTGTTTGACTTTTCACAGTTGATGATGTTAAATCGGTAACCAATACCAGTTTTCATTCCACTGACTTCAAAGTAAAACCATTGATGATAATGATTGCTATTTATATCCGAGTTCAGAATTAGATCATACTCGTTTCTGAAGATTAACAAAGACAAATCAATCTTTTTTTAAGAAGCAGGAATAAAAGGCCTTCTGTGTGAAAAGAAGAGCTGAAATATCTTACTTTCTGATCTGAATAGCTTTGCGCAGGTTTCCAGATTCAAATTTGGAATTAAACTTCAAAACATCTGGTTCCTCTGGTACAGAACAACTATGAGTAGAAGAAAAAAAGGGACCAAAATGAATAAAACAAACTTAACTAAAAAACTCATTAAATTTATTTCTCACTTGGTAATTCAGAAATTATTTTGAACCACCTTCTAAATACAGCCTGGAAAGCAGAAACAGTGTTATATCAGATGAAACTTTCATTGAAGTCTGTCATAATAGTACTGCTTTAAATATCACAAATCACAGCACAGAGAAAGTAACACAGGCTTAAAGTATTCACTGAATATTGTTTTCAGAAGCATAAAAACTCACCTCACATTATCAAGGTCATACACTACTCTGTCTATAATGTCATTCTGATGAATCAGTCTTTCAATATCCTGAGAGATTTTTGTCCTAAAATGAAAAGCAGAGTTCTCATTTAAATTCTTGCATACTGTTTCCAATTACAAGAGAGGCATTACCCCATACAACAATGAAAACTAACAAAGTTGACATGAAGACAGTGGGACAGATTTTCAGAGAAATCTCAGCCTCACCCCCACTTATGTGCACAAACTGTAAGTGTACTTAATTTTAAACACCTGCATTCACAGCTGACCGAGTTCAATATTTGTATGTGAGGGAACTGAGTTCCCATGCACACAACCCACTGGGTTTTACCTTATGGGAAAAAAATGCACGATTTCATACTTTATAGTAGAAGCAGGAATTACCCAAACATTACTTATGTTAATGCTTTAATCCAGGACAGCACTTGATAACATTACTAACTTACATGAGTCCTACCATAACTAAAACTAAAGCGTTTTAGAGAGCAGGTCGTGCAGTGAGTGTGTTAGTGCACTAGCTTTTCACCTCTGGAGGTCTAGGCTGATTTATCAACTAGGTAACAAATAAGAATGAATTTGGTGATGTCTGTCAAATGCCAGGTGTATGTTTATCCAGATCATAGAACCATTGCACAACTGGCAGTATCTAGGTTCTGGTTTGGATAAGTAAGAATGTGTTGCAGTTCAAGAATGAAATATAGTGGCAGAGCTGTGTGGAAAAGCTTGCACAGCACCTGCAATAAGAAGAAAAGGAGGCAGATTAACAATGAAAAATACAGAGCAGAGCAGTAGAGTAGGTTTAGGCTGGAAATTCTCCATTTAATTAAAAAAAAAGTTGTTAACAAATGAGAAAAAGAAGGTAAGTGTACGAGTCCAGCACCTCTTATTAAATTAAAACTAACTGGAAAAGAAAACAAGTCACAGGACCAATGCACTGACAAAACTGTAAAAAGGCTGACTCACCACAATTTATCTGATGAGGTTCAGCTAAGGGCAGAACTACAGATTTTTGATCTTGCACTTCATCTCACACAAATCCTTAGTTTTAAGTACACCTGAGCTCTAAAGGGTCATAATACTATCTTCACAGGAGTTTTACCAAGACAAAACCCATAACGAGTATTCGGCAGTCAGATACCATAGTAATGACTAAGGCAGACAAAATAAAAGAAGAAATGGTATTCAAGATGCATACGAAAAAGAGGAGCAGTAGTGGACATTTTCAGGTTCCAAAAAATCAAGAGAAAAGAGAAGCTGTTTTAAGATAATTAAAGGGAAAAAATATAAAAACACCACTGTTGATGTGGAGCTCTGTGTTCATGTTTTAGTCCTTTGTGGATCCTGATTTATCTGATGAGCACTTCTAAGTGTCAGATGATTAGAAAATGCTACAGGTATTAGAAAATACTAAAGTGTACAGCAAAAAACAATCTAAAATTTTAAGAAATGGAAAAAAGTGGGTATTTAAACTCAAATTAATGGAGTATTTAATTATATAATAATTTTTCCTCCTTAAAAGGTAGAATAATATAAAACACTTCAGTTATTACATTTTTCCAAACAATAATAATTTGGTGAGATGTTTGGTGAAAACTACATGTTACTAAATATAAATGAAAAAGCAAAAGCCCAAAGCACTAATTCAAAAACATTGCATTTCATAGCATATTGCAAGACTAAAAAAAAAAGGCCCTCAAAACCCCATACCATATTTGCCTAATCAAAGCAAAAAGAAAATCCACTAACTCCCCACCTCAGCCTCTCACAGTGTTTTCTTAAATTACAAGGATGGATTACGGCAACCATTTGTTTTCCAAAGAACACTTAGCTGACAAGCAGTAACTAAGTGCTTACATTAAGTAGAACATAAATCCCACTGAATGCCAAAAGAGTTTGGACACAGCTTTGTGGAAGACTTAAAAGCTTCTCCATGTTCCCCACCAAACTAATTTTCACCACCTTCCTATAAACTAAATTTCTAAAAAGATTAAGCCGTTTTTAAACACATTCCCTTCTTAGAAATTTGTTACATTGCAGTAACAAGACTGAGTCATTTGTAGAAAACTGAATTCTTAGAACAGTGTACCTTAAACAAGGTGATGTAGGATTTTTGATTCAAGTTTAGCAATATCACTTGGTATTTCATTCTTGTTTCACAAAAGACCTAAAAAAGTTACTTTCAAGATAGAAAATAAAACAAAAATAAAGCATTTTGAAGTTAAAATAAAATACACTCTAGAATTACCCTTATGGTTTAGAAATCAGCATTCAGGTGGGTTTTTTGTTTGTTTCCTGGGGTTTTTTCGTGGGTTGGTTTGGTATGGTTTTTTACAAACTACAAAATTTAGATGGGCAATGGTGGCAAGGCAGAAAGGGAGAGCATAAATTAAACTTAGTTTTTGGAAACTGAATTACAGAATTAGAATTAGCAATTACACCATCAAATTGTATTGCTGTTTATAGCTCTGCATTCACCAGTGCCTACTCACCTACCTTCAAACTGCTTTTCACTGAAAACAGTTTTAGATGCCAAACTAGACACTGTATAAGTGCCTGTTAATCTCATCCTAAAGACTGGTTCTCAAGGGAACAAAAACAGCAATAAAAAAGGAGTATGGTAACTCACCTCTGCACGCCATATGGCCTTTCCAGAATAGGCTCCTTAAATGGGGGTGGAATATGGCCAAAATAATCTGGATAGGCCACTTCTGAATATTCAGGAATAGATTTAGTGGTTTTTACCATTTCAATATAAAGATCACAGTCATGAACTGGTGATACGTCAGAAACCTCAAGTACAACTTGTTCTCCTGATGAGCTAGATCTAGAATCCTCTTCCTCTGAATCTACTCCAGTGCAGCAGAGTTTTCCCAGCTGGACAGATGATCCTTCAAAAAGGCTACTTCCACAGGGTGAAACATGTTCACAAGGTTTATTACAAGCAAGTGTGGTAAGGCTACTTTTGCTTTCCTTCTTCATTACACATCCTGCACCATAATACTGATCATTTTTTGGACTATTCTGCAGACTGATTCTGTCCAAGCCTTTCACAATTTCTTGGCTCAGACACTGGCACGATGGAAGCAGGTTTCTTTGATCATTTTGCTGATATAAACTACTGTCTTTGACACTGTCTTTCTTTGGTAGTTCCAGAAAGGCTGGCCTTCTGTTGTATTCCTCTGTCAATAAAGGACTGCCCTCCTTCAAAGCAACTCCTTTTGTGGACTGTTTTGCTTCCACAGAGAGGTCCTCTCCTGCTGTAGGAACAACAATAGGTCCACCCAGATTTGCATCAGGTACAAAAGGCTTTGGTTCCTTGGAAACTAAGTCACATTCCTTAAAAAAATAAAAGAGAAACAATAATAAAAATATTTATTATAAAAAACAGTTCCTCAAGTTTCATTTATATTAGAAACCTTTCTCTTTCATTATTCTCATTCATTCATATAATCTTTCATTATATTAGAAACCTGAGGTATGTTTTGCAATAATCCAAAATAAGTGTAACTTAAAAGACAACAGTTATTACGTTTTAAACTTACATAAACACAGCAATGAAGTTTCAGCTTTTACAATAAGGTATTGTCAAAGCAATAAACGAGTAGCTCATCAATAACAAATTATCAAGTCAGTGTGATTCCCCAGATATTTTAACCAACTGCTTTAAAGACATGCATTTAAGGAAATACCTAATAAAATGAATCTTTGTCAGAAATCTCACGGCCTTTCCTACTATATTACTTTCTGTTGTGTGCAATAATCAGACATCAGAAAACAGTTTTCCTTTATATCTGCCCACAGTCCCCTTCTCAGCCGGATTAAAGTAACCCAAAACACTTAACTAAATAACTCGCTATACAGCATTCTCATATGTAGCTCTAGAACTGCAGACTCTCATTTTTTGGCTAGTGGAAATATCCACCCCAAAAAAATAATGTCAAAGTGTATTCCAGAGTTAACCAGTGATGAGGAGGAATGTACTGGGAATCATACTTTACCTGAAAGTTTTCTGAAAGTTCTGGGAAAAATTGCTCATACATTTTCAGTTCTTCTATGGGTCTTCCCAATTCCTGTCTAGGTTTCAGTTTATTAATATCAGTCTCAATATCATCATTCTGAAAGAGCACCAGAACAAATTACTCTTGCATCCAGAACTAACTAACTTCTAAAATAATTACGTTCAGCTTTTACTTCTGACACAGCCATGCTTTAAAAGCTGAATATCACTATTTTAAAATTAGCTGCACTGCACCTTGCATCATGAAGATTTAAGCAGCTCCATTTTATTAGCACGCCAAAGCCTCTACTTCGACAGAAATATTACAAACATCTCAATTTTCTTGCTTTCATAGAAATGTACTATGCACAGACATCAGACTACACTTTACATGAGATCTGTGCATAATTCAACTACTGCAGCCTGGAATGTAGAGATTTCATCTGATGGCAGTGGCAAGGGAATAACTGCTTATATGGAAGACACTCTCTTCATCAGGGCTCATGAGAGCCTTGACTAAAATGTAATTCCAGTCTGTAGACAGACAATTCAATTAACTCCCAAATACATGTAACATAAAAATATAGAATAAGGCAGTTCTGACCAAGTGTCCTTTTGTGTCCTGACTGGCAGCAGGAGAGAAGAACAAGACCTTCCCAAAGAGACAGAATAGTGAGAGGTCTGATCTCTACCTCTACAGTTGGCAGAATTTCAAAGTTACCTTGCTGAAATACTGACCTAGTCAATTCCAGTCCAGAACAATGGAAAAATGTTAGAGCAGCTCCTACGTACTCAGCAGCGTAGGTGGGAAGAGAGGGCTAAGAGAAATAAAAGTTGGGAATGGAACACTGCTAAAAGAGTTTGCAATTCTGTTCCACTGTACTCCAGATACATCAAGTGTGAAGCAAACAAGTTTTGATAAAAATCTTGAAGCAATCTGAACAGCAAAGGTTGGTATTTTCAAACAGCACCCACCTTCTTTAAGTTTCAGGAGCTTTTTTAGTTTCAGAAATTGCCCTGAAAACCCCCTCAAAGTCTTTTTAACACTTAAAACATATGGCTGTATACATGAGTTAAGCAATTTAAGAAAATAAAAAACTGTTGTGCCTGACTTTTGCCTGTTAATTTTGCCTCATACCAACCTTAAAATGTTGGTCCTTGTCATCATCATTTTCGGTTTCAATTTCTGATTCTGTTTCAGCATCATCGTTATCATCGCTTTCATCTACTACATCATCCACTATGATACAAAAAAGTTTTGTGAGGCAGATTATACATTTAGTCTAATAGTTATGCTAAAAAAAATTTATATCTTCTGGGTTTAATTTCTTTTTCTATTACCACTTGAAAAAATAGTGAAAATCAATGAGTAAACATTACTATTACCAGATTTACACAACAAAATGCTTGTTTGACAATACTGCAAACTCAATTTATTACATTTCCATCCAGTTTTAAGTTAAAACAAAGATCTATTGTTTAAACAAAGCAAAATGAAGCCAAAAAACCACCCAATAACTCCCTGCCCAAAAAAACCCCCCATCAAACCAGCAAGACAGCAGATGGCCATTAGAAATACTTTACAATGTGGATGTGCCAAGAACATCTCAGCGTGGCTTGAGGTCAGCACAAAATGAGATGGTTCTGACACCTTTCCCCAAATAAAGTAATAATGACCACGTCCAAAAAACCCAATTTGAGGTCTCAGCAGCTTTTAGTCATGTCAGCTAATACTGACTGCAGTATCAGGGAATAGTGGGACAAAGCACCCTCTTCACTGTTTCTGTCTTGCTTAAATGGGGCCTAACAATTAGAAAAAAAACCAAAACAAAACAAAAACTCAGAAATATATTACTGGAGACTCAACCAGGAAGGAACATACTGAAGGACAGCAGTCACTGCAACTGTTTAGCATGGACTGGTTTGGAACCAAATTTTACCCCCAAAAATATAGCAAGATGTTATTGTTTAGATATGTGGAACTATTTGGACATTAATAACCGATTTCTACTTGAGCTAGAGAGCCCATAAATTGAAGGATCTAGGACTCCCTCCTTTTTTAACAATGAAAAACAAGGGGAAGCAAATTAATTGTTTACACATGACTAATGAGAATTGGGGCTAACTCCTTAACATGTGGAAGTGGACGTTAACTGGTTCTTCTGACAGATATTCTGCCTACTAGTAGCAAATTTGATCTTTTTCTAGAAATCTTAGACAGTTTGAGTGCTGGGGTTTTTTTTAAAGACTATTTTCCATGCAGAAAATTTGCTGATTTTCAGTAAAAGGCTCACTCAGAGGTTTACAAATTATCCTGATTTTCTAATGTATTCAGACTGATTACATGCATTGTTTATACCATGCTGACTATACAAGATTGTACTTTTAATAAACTCAGAGTTGTATCCACCCCATTCTACATATCTTTTAATACAGAAGTTTTTCCTTAAAAAGAAAATCCTATGTATCCTATTTCCTTAGTTTTTTCACTTCATTTTTAATAGAAAACAAACCTACTAAAAAACCCCATGAGTAGACTACTACAACACAAGAGGAAGTTTCTAAATAGCCACTATGGGGTACCAAAAATACTGCATTAAGTAGAGGTTTAATTTCTGTGGAACACACTTCTAAACCTATTTTCTACTTTGAAGAAAAAACATAAACAAACTCTAAACTCCTGCAGTTTGAGTCTGACCCATATGAATCCAAGTCACATAGCTGTCTTCTTTCAGGCTATGATCACATTTTGTTTCAGGAGATCTTATCAATAAGAAGATATTAACAAGTATGACTTTGCCTTTTCATTTTAGACTAACTTTCTGACAGCAACTTCATCAGATGTTTACCCAGCTTATCAGGTTGTCTCACCATATCTGAAAATGCATTAAAAATTAATTATCCAAAAATAATGAAAGGCGTACACTACGGGATGAATCTATTTCCTACAAAGCACTATATAAATGCTTTGCACACAAGTGTTGCCTGAGAGATTGCAATAGTTCAAGAAAGCAGCTCTATTTTTCTCATCATGCAAATTAAGGAATAACCACAATAGTTTTAAAAACAGTGCTTCAAATGGCACATGTTAATCTAAATTCATTATATCCAGTTTATCAAACAGAAAGAAGTAAGAAATACACACTCCTGTAAAATAGGATGTACACTACATTACATTTCACACAGGAGAATGTATATGATGAGTGAGTTAAAAAAAGAGAGCTCATTTAAGTTTGTAGACCAGGTCGTACAGCCCATGCTTTACATTTCAGACTCTGAGGAACATCACATCTTAGTTCCTGTTTTATTTTTTATTTTATATCTCAGAAACATAACTACATAAGGGTAGACAAAATTTTAATCAGTGAAAACTTAATATTAGAAATTGGTGCTCTACACTAACAGTCACAGACCCTTTGCTAGCTGGGAAGAGTCTCAAGAGTCCAAGCTTTAGCAGAGAACATAACTGCAGTTGATTGTACCTCATATAAAGCAAGGTTAGACATACTCAAAGAGAAAGTATTAAAAAATTACCATACCATCAGGAGGCAAATTGTACAGCTGAGCCACAGGACCACTGGCAGGAATAACTGGCAGTTGGAAATGGAAAGCACTTTTAATAGTTGGTAAAGGAAGACGATTTTTAGGAAAACATTTTCTCATTATTAGGCTGGACGTGTTGACAAGGGGATCAAGAGTTCTTACTGCAAGGCACTCCTATTAGCAAGAAAATAATAAGACAAGAGAAAAGTATCTCTCAAACTAATAGTCACACCACATTTGTTTTACAGATTTCCAGAATCCATTAATAGCAAAGTATTTTGCTTACAACAAATTTTGCTAATGTCTCATTTGAAGGCCAGAAGAACTTCTACCAACTCAAATTCACCCTTTTCAAAAACCCAGACTTTGAAATTTAAAGATTTTTCTCCCCTCTCTTTTTTTAAGTTCAACAGTCCCTCCCAGAGATAGTCACAGCCAAATAAGAGCAAATACAAATTTCATTCTGTACTTTTTCATTCCACTTTAGTTGAGTACAGAAAATAACCCTTACCCCCATAATCAGGAATGACCATGAATATCATAATAGCATGGCAAATTTGAGGTCAGAATGTGTTTTCAAAGCCTGAGAGGCAAAAACAACAACAAAAAAAACCTAAGATAAACTTACTTGTGAAGTGTTGTAAAGGATTTTCATCCCATTGGCATCAATGAATGCTTTTCTTCCCAATTTGATGTTTGTAACACTTTTAATGCACTGTAAAACTCCTTTACGTATCAGCATGTATCTGTGTCGACTATCATGACGGTGCCAATCAACATAAATCGTTAAAAGCACCTGCACGTATCCTCTGTCTACTGCTCTCCTGGCATTTGTTTCTTTATAAAAAAAGGTAGAAAACAAAATTTAAAATTGACAAATGACTTCAATAATATTTTCAAGTTAATGTTAAAGTTATTCTTTTCATCCAAGTAACTGAATTGTTTCATTTAAAGTAGCATTTTAGCTACTTAGTAGAGTTTTACATCAGCTTAAACAGAAATGACTGAATAACTGAGGAGAGCAGTCTACACTTCATTCTTCAGAATAAAATTGTGTGTCATTTTCGTGGTTTACCAGAAGAACATTATGCAGAATGTAATGCAGAAGTATGCATTACAATTTTTTGTAAAAAAGTGTTTATTTAAAGCATATCTATCGCTATCCACACACACTGTGTACATACAAGATTTGAAACAAACTTCTTACCACTTGTAATCCATACAGTTTTGCAGCAACTATCACTCAAATTTTATAAACTCAGAATAACTCTACCCCAAATACTAGGTAATCAGAATGACAACTGGACTCTACACACCAGAGATTAGTGTTTTTTATGAAAAGATTTACTTATATAAAGTGTAGGAAGTTGCAGTGTCAAAACCCCTCAGGACTGAATAAGATACCTCAAAATAAATGCATAAGACCTTCTGTTTTAAAGACACAACTTTTAAACATTCAATTTCTTTCCCCAACATTAAAGTTTAACTGCAAAATTACAGAACAGAATAGTGATAATTCAGAAATATTTCCTTTCCTAAATTTCCCAAGGAGAAATTCCAAAATTAGTAAATGCACCAATCTGTAAGACCAAGGTATTACACTGATCAAACATGAGAAAACTCAGCACCCTGTAATAATTGGTACAGAAGTTTCCTGTCATTTGTCTAATACGGTTTTCTGCAAATCTAATCATGCTTCAGTTCTCATCCAACTCCATTAAAACTACTAGGAATGCTGTAACTTTTATACAACTCTCTGGAGATAATGAGTTTTTAATTCCTTGTCAGTTACAATCCTAGTGCAAAATCTGCAGAGATTACATATGTCAGGACCTACCGCTGCCAGCCGATATAGCCAGCATCTGGGACCAGACCACGGCTTCCGTTACCCTTTGTTCCACTTCACCAGCATCACTGACAGACTTGTCATTAGGACTTAAAACCTAATTACTCAGAAAGGTACCTGAAGAAATCCTGTATTTTCCCTGCCCTCCAACAGATACTTGGAAGATGCATAAGAGTCAAGCTATAGATATGTAATACTGAAGGGCTGAAGTGAGTGGCTGTAAAACACTATTTCTCCATCTTGGATACAGATCAGTTCTGTAGAAGCAGCGCAGCCTTTCTGCTGTGTAACTGAAGACGCGGTAACTCATTATTAAACATATACGGCCTTGATTTTGTTTTGGCCACAGACTTAATATTAGTTTTACTCTGTGTATATACACACACACATATATATAGATCTCAACTAGACAAACAGTTTCTGTAGTCAAACACTTACTTGATTTTAGCAGTGCAGCAAGCGTGTCTAAAGCAACCCTGTCAACATAATAAGAAAAGTCAAAACAACAAAAACCAGTAAGCTTAATCTACAACACTATAAAGCTACACAAAATATTTACTGCTAACAGATTTATTTAGCATCTGTCCTCATGTTTTCCTGGTTGCACTGTATTGCCGATTTTACTTTTAAAATTTTATTTCACTAAAATGTCACGTACCTCTGCTAAATCTGAAGTCTGATGGTGAAATTTAAAAGTATCAATGTAATGGCTACACACACTTTCAGCCTTTGTAAAAAAATACCGCAAGTGACAAAGTAATGTTTATGAACCATACTCAATGGATGAGATACTTCTGAAACTCATGTTTTACACTAGCAGCAGAACAAGCATTTCCAGAAAGCAAAAGACACTATTTTAGAATACTCTAGGTCAAAAATGGCAGCGTATTAATATACTGAGGAGTAACATTCATCAATCTGTACCACAACAGAAGATCATTAGTGAAAGACTTTTCTTGTACACAAAGAACTTGTCTCAATTAACTCAAAATGTACAACTACAAAACATATATACTTATTTTTACCCTATTTGTAAAGATAGACTTCCTGCATCTGATCTTAGACCATAAACAGGGCTATCATGATTACTGACATCATGGAGTAGTAAGTTCATAGGTCTAATTTTAGCTGGGGCTTAAAGGGGCAGGGTCTTGAGTGACCACAAATACCAGATTTAGATAACTAACACTACTTTTTGTGTACTAAAGTTAGAATACAAACAACATGAGATGAATATTTTGCTAACCAGATGAGAAATTTCATTTTCTGCAGCTATATACTTCAAAAAGGTGGTATAAAGAAAGGGCTATCTCCAGTTAGATCCACTTATCTATTTTCACCCTAAGCTCACTTTAAAAAAAAAGAAAAATACAGTGGGTGGTGGGCAAATCTAAAGTCAACACTTCAAGGTACACAGTGATTTTTTTTTTTTTTTTAAATACAATAGCCCATTAGACAGATACTGCTGGTGCTTCCTACTCTGTGTTTTATATTTTTGCCTTGAGAGTCTATAATTGCTTTAAAGTAAAACAGAGAAATTCTGTTTTACTTTAAAGAAAATTCTATTACAAAATAAAACAGATAGTGTCAATCTAAAAACACAAAGGAGATGTGGAAGCCAATTCAGCAAATTGAAAAATGACAAGATTGTCTTGATCTGTTTGTCCTGATTTGGGGATAACCATTGTGCACTTTCCATGCAGGAATATTAAAGGCAAAAAAACCCAACATTTATATTCTTTTACTAGTACTTAAGTACATTTAAGTATTTTGTGTTACTCTACTGAGTAAAATTAAACAGATTTGTGGTTCTACTTCCCACCTCCCTTCATTTTAACTTTCAAATATGAGTTAAATCTGATTTTTCTAATATTATTTTTCATTGACAATTAAGTTCTGAAACATATCTAAGGTTTTTCCACATACTATATTGAAGAGACTTTACTTACTTCATAAGGCTTGTGTTCTTTTTACTAAAAGGGCCAATGATCTTAAACATCAGTTCTACTACTCCATTCTTTCCCAAGGACACTGCATTTACAGCTGGAAGAGTTAAAAACAACCGTTTTTAAGATAATGTAACAAGAAAGGCAAAAGAAAAAAAATCAATGCACTCGAACTAAAACCCATGCAAGTTAATTTTGAACTACAAAAAAGGTTACATATGTTTGTGTGTTAAGACATACAATGACAAGCAGACACTACTCTGCACATAGTGTGATAATCCAGTCCTGATAAAACTTGGAAAAGAATAAAAAAATTAGTTATTACTTTACAAATAAAATAATGTATTATTTCCAACGCACGTTTCTGCTTTCTTTGTTACTGAGATATATCACAAAAAGAACTTTGTTCCAAAAATAAATCAGTTTATCAAGGCAGCAGGATTTTTAAAATTTCAAGTCTAACAACTTCTATGACAGGTATGTCCACTACAATTTGAAAGCAAAGCATTTGCTGTAGAATTTAGAAATGCCAATTGGCATAAGCTTTCCTGAGCTACGTTATGCATACATGTTCTCAGAAAAAAAAAATATAATCTATCTGAAAGGAAGAAAATTAAAATAAATTATGCTAAGACCTACCTTCAAAAAATGCACACTGGATGTAAATATATATATGTGTGTGTGTGTGTGTGTGTGTGTATATGTGTGTGTGTATGTGTATATATATATATGCCTAAAGCCCAGTGCCTGTTGAAAATACAAACTGCTGAAACAGGCACAGAAATTCAATTCCCGACTGAGTTTAGCAATATGTACTCCTACCTTCCTAAAGTAGGAAGAGAGCAACTAAGAATTTACTTCAACATAACAAATGTTGTTATTAGTGTAAAATTTAGTGCTTTAACCCAAGTTGCAATTTTATTATCAATAGCAGCAACATTATACCAGTAGAATCTAGAAAAATTAGGACTCTATTTTGTAGCAACTGTACCTAAACTTTACATAGTACTTACTACCCACTGAAATGTAATAAACTACTATTTTTTCTGTTTATAAGGAGTGGGAAATACCGAAAGATAGAAGAGATCTAAGCAGAACCCAAATTAGAGACTCAGTTCAATTTCCCATTTTCAGGATGAAGGAAGTTTTCAGATAAGCTATGTAACTTATCTGTATGAAACTCTTCCATTCAGAAGCATTTTCACTCATTATCAGACAGTTCAACAGAAATAAAGCTTCCACAATTTAAAAATATTGTGACTTCATGAATTATATAGGTGCTCATGTGAATGTCCTGAAAACATAATCTCACAGATCATCAAATCAGTTATCTTGAAGGAATCTGATTATGTTTTCAATCTCTCACACTTTGATCTGGCCATTTTGAACTCAATCCCAAAGAGTGGATTAGGCTCTCATAGAAGAATGTTATTCCAATAGTAGGGCACTTCAACAGAAGGAATAAGGGAAAGATTAAATAAAGAAGTATTTCCTGTGTAAAACTAAGTTTTAAATTAGCAATCATGAATTAAATAAATAATAAAAAGCAAAAAAAACCATGAGCATGTATAATAAGAATAATAATTATTTAATTTGAAGTGCTGTTGCAAGCACAAGGTTAGCATTTCTAGTTTAGAATTTAAATCATCAGCATTTATACAAATTAGATGACTCAAAATTCCACACATCCAGTAGCACTGGTCAAACTCCTGACAACTATATATGTGTGTATATATACACACACACACACACACACAGAGAACAAAAACCAAAGATACATAAGAAGTACAAACATGCTTCACAGCTACTATTAGAATTTGACGATGTAAGAAGAAAATTCTCAGATAAAAATAATTATTTTAAACAGCTAACATTAAACAAGCATTTAGATCCAATATTTTAACTGTATCTAGATAAAAAAAAAATATCACATGGGAAAACAAAATTATCTGCAATACTTACAGTTGGTTGAGTAAACTCTTAATACTTGAAGACATGGCAATATTAGCCTGTAGTTCTGCAAATTCTGCTTCACTAAATTCAGTGATATGTTTAGGGCACCATTAATTCTTGCTTTCATGCCAATCTTTTTGTCTGACATCAAAGAAACAGAAGATCAATCACACTAATTTTGAAATTATTATTTTTAAAAAAAGTTAAATGAACTGTGAATTCCTACTTAAAATGTCAACTCTGCATGTCTATTTTTCATTATTCTTTCATTCCCTCTATTTTACTCTTCCTTTTGTTCTCCTCTACCAATTCTCAGTAAGTGGATGCTTATACAATAATAGAAAGAAGTTTTTTCTTAAGTTTCAGTTATACAACTGTAAAGTATTAAGCCATATTATTTAAATATATCATTATCACCTTTTGGGCCAATTTTTGCAAGAAGAGTATGAAGGAGCACCATTAATTCTTCATTTGGTGGAGAGTCTTTGCTGGCAGTCAAAAGCAGCTGCAACAAGATCTGTGTTCCTCCTTTAGTGACTAAGACACTTGCTCTCCGACCACCACCTGGAAATTAAATCTCAACTGATATTTCCAAAGCCAAAGAACAATTAAGTATCTAAGCTACAGTTATCATATAGAAAGTCCTTAGAAAGCAATATTTTCTTAATATGATTGCACTATGCAAGAACATGTTAAGACTTACAACAACATAAATTATTTGTGTATGATTATTTGAACAGTGACTTCAATCTTTATGTTCTTTTTATTCTGCATATAAATCAGCTTTAACAAATGTCAGAAAACAAACAAACAAAAACCCAACAAAAGTCTGCAGAATAATACAGGAATAGAATGACAAATTGTTCCTTAATGAAAACTTACCAACTGAGACTACCTCAACGAGTATGTTCAATATATTTAGAATAGTTTGAGGATCTTTTGTATTCTGCAATAAGAAATAGAGAGATTTCTTTGCTTTACGTAGAAGTCTAATACAGTGGTTTAGATATTTAAAGCTTAGTGAAATTGCCAACACTAAATCAAACAGAATTTAAGATGTAACCACTCAACAACCATCCCACTATGAAGCCTGAATTAACTGCAAAAACAATTAGTTTGTACAATTAATGGCGCATTAATTACAACTGACAGTTGACAAATAATTTCTTAGAAAACTTAAAACTAAGGGAGAGAAATTCTTAAGTAGGTCAGACCATTTCTGATCATCACACTCCTACTCAAGTTTTGGAGAATAACTAGGATAACAACATATTTAATAATACAAAGCCCAATTATAAAATTAAAACCTGCTATGTACCCATAACCACACAGATTAAAAGGTTTTACCTCTAGGGTTGACAGGATAACTTCTATTCCAGTGGAGCCCTTAGAAGTCATCTCCTTCCTGGTTTTTTCTGCCAGTGAGAAAAAGACCATTTTCCTTTTAATATACTAGCTTGCAGAAAAAAAATGTGATCAAATACAGATTGAGCAGAAAATCTACACTGCAAATAGTAAAGCCTCTTAAAAACTGTACATAGTTATATAAAACTGACTATAGTAAGTAAAAGATTTTAAAGTGATTTAAGTGATTTTAAAACTAATTTTTGCTTCCACTTGTTCAACAAATTTTGTCATGCCCTAGAAAAAAAACTGTAAAGAAAAAAATCTGGGATAAAGCTCTCTTCTAGATACCTTTACTTCTCATATAGATACAGAAATACATATATATATATATATATACACACACACACATTGTGAATTACTTAAAATTATAGCTGTTGGACAATATTAAATGCACTCAGTGTAACCAATACTATAACAGGTGGTATTAAATACAGCCTTAAACAAGCGCTTTCAATAATCAGTGACAAAAATGGACGGCTAATCAAGTTCACCAAACAGAAATAAAAATTCAAGGAAAGTCCAGCAAGGAAGAAACACAAGAAGGAACACTCAAAAGGAAAACCACTAAACCCACAAATCTTAGCTATTTACCTTGACTCTGAACCAGATGAAGGATCTTTGAGGTAACATATCTGGCATTGTCTGCTTCTCCTAATCTGGAGTCCAAATTGATCTTTTCCAGCTGTGACAGCAGAGACATAATCCGAGAACTGGTAGAAATATTACAAGAAAGATTTTTTTTTTTTACATTCATTTTTCCATCTAGATCAGAAAAAAACTCCACTAACAACAGAAATCCCATGTCAAAGTATGAGGAGTGGCTAATTCACCTTCATATTTTATCTTGACTGGAAAACAGTCTTAAATCTCCTTAATTCTGGCAAATTTACAGATTTTGCAAATCCTGCATTGCAGCAGACTAATTATAACAGTAACTCCAAGAGTAACTGTGAATAGGGAAATTGGTTGCAGCACATAAAATCCAGATATAGGTACAAATGTTGCTTCTCTATGTTAATTAAAGGATAAAGGAGGCTAACGACAACAAAAAAGGCTTTTTTAGGTACATCAATAACAAAAGGCAGACCAGGGAAAACGTGGGCCTGCTGCTGAATAAGGTGGGTGCCCTGGTAAGAGGAGACGCTGAGAAGGCAGAGATACTGAACGCTGCCTTTGCTTCAGTCTTTATGGCTAAAAGTGCCCCTTGGGAATCCCCGATGCTAGAGGGAAGAGAGAGAGTGTGGAGGGAGGAAGACTGTCCCTTGGTTGAGGAAGAGCTGATCAGAGATAGTCTGAACAAAACCAATTCACACAAATCATAGAATCATAGAATCATAGAAT